GGTTCAAGCCATTGCCCTTGTCCTGTCCCTCCAGGCCCTTGTCCAAAGCCCCTCTCCAGGTCTCCTGGAGCCCCTTTAGGCTCTGGAGCTGCTCTAAGGTGTCCCCTTGAGGAGCCTTCTCTTCTCCAGCTGCCCCAGCCCAGCTCTCTCAGCCTGGCTCCAGAGCAGAGCTGCTCCAGCCCTCGCAGCAGCTCCGGGGCCTCCTCTGGCCTCGCTCCAGCAGCTCCATGTCCCTCTGGTGCTGTTCCCCAGAGCTGGATCAGGGCTGCAGGGGGGGGTCTCCCCAGAGCACAGCAGAGGGGCAGGATCCCCTCCCTCGACCAGGGTCACTCCTGTGACACTGCAAAGCTCTGCACGTTTGGGGTCTCTTCCCTCACATCCATATTTCTGAATTTCCAGGGTTTAATCTTTCAAATTACAGTTCCTGGTGGTCTCTGTGTCTCGGGCAGTCCCACCACTATTCATGTGGGGTTTGTACCACTCAGAAGTGTCTGTGTGGAGAATATCACCTGCACTGAAGTGCCTCAAACACCAACTGTGGCTCATTGGATGTGGGAAGGGAGATTTTCAGTCCTCGAGATCAGTATAGAAACATACATGTTTCTAATTTTTCTCCCTTGGTATCATCCAGTACTTTAATACCAAAGCCTATATTAAGGTTTGAGCTAAAAATACTCCTCTAATTTTTATTTAAATGCAACTGTTGCAGCAGGATGTGGATGTTGTCCTACTTTAAGTTTGAACGTTGCTAAATACAGGGAAGTAAAATACTCGAGGTAGTGCTGTCTTCATCAAAAGGTGTTTTACATTTCCTTATGTACCAGTATTAATTTAATCTGATCATAATTGAAAAAATATTGATTTTTTTTTTTTGCTTTTTAATTGAAATATGTCATTTCTCCAACAGCTGCTCAGTTGTAATGGGCTGTAAAACCAAAATTCACTCTCAGTTAAGACGAGAAGCTGTGGGAGCCTGACATGAGCTCTCCTGCCCTGCAGCACGGTGACACTGTTTCTCCCTGTTTCTTCCAGCACACACTCATAGTTGCGGACACTGAAAACCTCCTGAAGGCACCCACCATCGTGGGGAGAGCAGCACTGAACCCCATCCTGTTCCGAGGAGTTGGGTGAGCCAAGTGGGATGGAGGGGAGGTGCTAGTGGTTGGGGAAGAGGAGTTAAAACGGGTGTGTTGCGAAGTAAGCATGGGGTGAGCAGCTGTGGCTCTTAACAGAGCCATCTCTTGTTTCAGATGAAAGTAAAGTCTCCAGAGCAGCTCAGTCCTTGGCTTAAGAATGTTTCTTAACATAAATCACCAAAGCTTGACTGGATGTCTCATGGAAATGCTTAATTTCTGGGTGTGTGCAGGCTCGGCCTGGCTGTGTCTGAGGGCAGTTGGGTGCCTGAGTTGGTGGCTGCAGGACTCTCTGGGGAGGCCCCGGGGTGTCTCTGTGCTGCTCACTGTGCTTCTCCCTGCAAGGATGGTGGCTGATCCTGACAACCCGCTGGTGCTGGATATCCTGACCGGCTCTTCCACCTCTTACTCCTTCTTCCCAGATAAACCCATTACTCAGGTATGTTCTGTTACTGCTTCTCTTCTTTTGAGCTTCTACAATTAAATCCTTCAGATTTCAGCCACTTGGGAACATCCCCAAGTGTTTCATCTCCTTGAAAGGCTCAGGCTGTTGTCTGCTTTCTGACAACACCCTGGTGGGAATCTTCCTCTGCTTCCTCTTGGTGGCAAAATGTCCAGGGTGAGGGATGCAATGGAAGAAAACCCTGCCTAGACCAAATCACCTCTCCATGTCCTCTTCCAGCAGCTGTGAATCCCAGCACTGGTTACTCCAAGCTTCTTGGTTTCTCCTTAATCACAGGCTGTGCCAGCTGCTGTCCCACCCTGACACAAACCAGAGATTAACTCGTCTTTAATCATCCTCACATAGGCTAAACTCCGTCCTAAACACGTTCCTTTTCAGTACCCACACGCGGTGGGGAAGAACACGCTCCTGATTGCCGGACTCCAGGCCCGGAACAACGCCCGTGTGGTTTTCAGTGGATCCTTGGATTTCTTTAGTGATGCCTTCTTCAATTCTGCTGTGCAGAAAGCTACTCCTGGCTCCAAGAGGTATGTTGGCTCCCTGGCTGAGGAGTATCTGGGGAGCTGTTTAATGAAGAAAATCCAGTAAATATTCATGTTCACAGTGGAAAGGTTTAATCACAGAATTATGGTGTGATTTGGGTTGGAAGGGACCTTAAAGCTCCTCCAGCTCCAACCCCTGCCACGGGCAGGGACACCTTCCCACAAACAAGAATAGTCACAAC